TTCCAGATATCTTACTATTCATAAACTGAAAAGTAGCAGTAAGTTCAAAAATAAATCATTTTTATTCTGGCTACTGCACACTGATAAATGTTTACCTAAGTGCGACAGCAATTTTACCTTGGTCTTGCTGTTTCTACAAGGGAATGCTGAGAAAGATAGTTTTAAAGATGTAGCAAGAAAACCAAAAACAAACAAACAAACAAAAAAACCCAAGCAAACACCCCCAAAATTGGGTTAGTGCATACACACACAACGCAGAACTAGAAGAAACCTAAAGCGAAATTACCCACACAGATCTCTACACTTTGAAAGTAACAGGACCATGTACTTTATGTAAAATCACAGCAGACAAAAATGCCAACACTCAGCTCCAGCTTGGAGAAGTGCGGCTAAGCAGAAGTATGGCTGGAGACTCTCAGGCAAAGAAGTCAATGGAACAGTCAAGCTTTTTGCATAACAAACTGCATTTCACCTTATAAAGATGAAACTTAAAATTCCATTTACTCAGCAAATACTTGTGTCTTGAAGTCATGTATTACACTAAATGCTTAATAAATAAATGATAAGTATAAATTAACAGAATTGTCTAAAAAAGAGACACTGATTTGAACTAAGAATTATAAATAATTATATATAATCAATCACCATTATGCCTTACAACCAATTTGTACCTGATATGCACTGTTTTCAATTATTGACTAATTGCCAAACCAGTTCATATATGTAAACATTTTCTCCCAAAATACTAATTACAAATCAAGCTATTGGTGCACATAAGATACAAATTTAATTGTAAATGTTTACCATTTACATAAAACATTACCACTGCATCCAAGTACAGAAAAAAAATTAAGATTAAAAAAGGTCATGATAGTTACATATTACCATAGGAAACTTTAGAGGGGGAATAAAAAAAGTAAAGCAAGCTCTATGGTCAGACTTCCCACGATCACACAGCTTAATCATTACTGTTCATAGCGTTCATTTCTGAAGCTCTGTAAGATTAGGAAATGTCTTCTGAATCATTTGATGTTGTATTATAGTTTGTCAACTTTTGATAACCATCTGTTTTTGTTTTCAGGCTCTATCAAAATGATCAATCAATACCTTTGTTAGATTATGTGAAGCACCCTTTGACTATCAAGAATATTGATAGTTGCTCTGCAAACAGAGTTCAGTCCAAAAAGAGGCTGTTCTGACAGCACACAGTCTCCCGGAAACTCCAGGGCCACTCCAGCCATCTCTTCCAGGACCTGGGACAGCAGGCTTCTCTCTGCTCCCTCCAAAATTTTCCATCTCTGCTACTGGACTGGCTTCTTGTGCAAAATGCTACAAGCAGAATCACCTTAAAAAATGTCTTTTCAACAACCCTCCTTCATCCTGACAATTAGCACTTTGCAGAGTAAAATTCACATGGGTCTCCTAATCGCAAATCCAAGGACTATTTTCATACAATTATTTCAAGTTTTTGGCCACAAAGCGTAACCTTCTAGACATCCTGCAGAGACTATCTCCTTTGATCTTCACAGAAGCCTTATAAAGTAAGTGCTTTGATCCCCACTTTGCAGATGCAGAAAAGGAACTGAACTGAACTGTCCAAGGATACAGAGCTTCCTGAGGGTAGAAGTAGGCCTGTCTAATACGCAGTGAGAACCTGAGCTCTCCCTTCCTGCAGTTCTCTCCTTTCCCTTAACCCTCCCCTTTGCTAACCCTTTCCCCTAACCCTCCCCTTTGCTAACCCTTTCCCCTAACCCTCTTGCTTTGTACCTTCTCATTTTTACTGCTGCCTATTTCTCAAACCCATTCCCAAATTTTGGGATCTCCTCAGTTATATTTTCTACCTGACTCTCATAGGGAAGACTATCAACTTTCAGTGTTTACAGTTCTGCTACATGCTAAATCATCCATCCATCCATCCATCAGTCAATCCACCTACTTGCTATCTAACATAGAACTTCTCAGAAGTTCTGTGAAATGACTCCCTGGACACACATCACCAGTGGATTTTCTATAAGCACATCAAGTCCTCCATGTACCAAATGGAACTCGGTCACCTTTGCTTCTCAAATCTCAAGTCTCCCATCCCCAAATCAACTCCTACTCCACCACCTAATCAGTCACCCATGACTTGTGACCTATTGCTTTTAATTTTCAAATTTATTTTTATGTGTGTGAATGTTTGCCCTGAATACAGGTAGGTGCACTGTGCATGCAATGCCCACAGAGGCCATGAGAAGGGGTCAAAATCCCCTGGAATTGGAGTTATAAATAGTTGTTAGCCACTCTCTTACCAAAATCATACCAGTATCTAAAAGCTGTTCCTGTCTCATATTTCTGAGATCCAACATTTACTATTCTGAAATCTGACTTCTCACCGTATCATGTCTTTTTTTTAAAGATTTTTTTTAAAAATTTATGTGTATGAGTGTTTTGCCTGCATGTATGTAAGTCTACCTGTGTGTGCAACGCCCAGAGAGGGCAGAAGAGGGTGTTGGGTTCCCTGAAACTGGAGTTAAGGACAGCTGTTAGTTGTCATGTGGGTGCTAGGAACCAAACCCAGGTCCCTCTGCAAAAGGGGTCAGTTCTCTTAACTGCTGAGCCATCTCTCCAGCCCATTACCACACCTCTTTATAAACAACCCTGCACTGGAGACCCACTTGCACATGATATGCTTTTAATAAATATGCGTTAGAGGAAAGAATGAATGTTCCTGAAATGCTTCTAATTTAAGTAGATATGATTACCACAGTTTTCAAGACTATCCTACTGTACTCAAACTGATTTGATTATGTAGCTTCTCCACTGGAAGGTATGCAAAGTGATATTTAAATAATTGAGTAAGCATTCAGGATGGTTAGCAGGATTATCAAATTACACTTTTAGCTCCCAGGATAGGGAGAGATTAACACTTCATCAGGATAATGAGTTTCAATGGCAGAAGGAGCTACATAATGTACCTTAGCATATTCCTAAGGAAAAGTAACCTCAGCAAACGTTTTCTTTTTAAAGGATGATTTAATTTACAAGAAAGCAAAGGTTTTCTAGAGCGAACTGTCCCGATTTAGTACACTCCTCTAAAGGTCTCTCACACAAAACTTTCTGCAAATAAACATTAACAATGTGCAGATAAAGGTCACTCTGCTGGAACCTCAACCATCCAGTTCACAGTATGGCTCAGAATAAATGTATGAAAAGAAGGCATCTGTCACAAAACCCACAGGTTTTACACTCGGCTACTGGCCACATTCTTTCAAGGGGGGAGAAAGACAACAGCTAACCCAGCAGCAGGGCCTGCTCACAGGTCTTTACCAATTCATCTTATAAAGATAACCCAGCAAACCACAAAATAACTTATGTCCAACCAACTGTGAAGATAAAGATTGTAAACTGCTTATTTTAGTGGCTACCTTTTTTGAGGTTTCAATAATTAATACTGCCCAGAAAATATATGTATAAATAGGCACTAGCTCAGATGTCACCAGAACATATACTGCATCAACCAGCACCAGTACCCACTCCTCAGGTGTAGCTTGGCAATTTCCAGGAGTATCCTAGAAATTCAGTTAATTAACAACAAGAAATTGGTGTTATTTGATCAACAGGTTCAGAAGTTACTTTGAAAAGGGTTTAAAGCTAGGCTTTTTGGCAATATTTAAACGGTAACTAAACTGACGGCTGTTCATAAGTACCTTGAAATACAATTTAAATTACTGGAAATGTTAACTATGAAACAACAGTAATCAAAAACAAACTTTAAAAAATTGTCATAAATATACTTACTAAATTCGTTTCCTATAATAAGTGCTCCAAGTTATCAATAAAAACACAAAACTCTAGAAATACTACAGTACAGCAGTATTACCCAGAAAAATCAGAAATCTCTTCATTTATGCCTAGGTGCTAATAGCACACCAAGTTACTGTACTGTCAAGAACTGCGCTTCCCCAAGGTTTGCAGATACTCTTACAAGCAACACTAATGCTGGTGCCAGAAGCATCCAACTAAGCTGCAGTATTTTCCTTTAGTACTGTACTATCTAGAAGTGTTGCTGGACAGAGACAGTGGCAGAGCTTGCAAGGATTTAAGCTACCAAGAGACAGTTTCTACAGGAAAAACTAAAGCTGCCCGGGCTCACATTTAATTAACATACTTATTTTTATTTCATATAATAAAAACTTCTCAATTAATTAAAAGAATCCCAAGGGCAAAGTGTGACATTTAATATTGTTAAAATGTTGTTTAAAGAGCTCTTTCTATCCGTCCTGGTAGTTTGTGTTTGTTTTAGTTTTGTTTTTGTTTTTTTGGGTTTTTTTGAGGGGGGGAACATGGGTCGAGGAAGCATGCGTCTAAGAGGGCAATTTTTGTTTGGGGGAAGGAGGGATTATAAATAAAAATAATGGCATACTTGGCATCTAGTCATAATGCCACACATTCCTGGCATTAACTTTGAAAAAAATCGGCTGTACAAAGTGATAGCCTCAGGTGACTTAAGTATTTGGCGTTTTTTGTGTTTGTTTGTTTGTTTGTTTTTAACCTTTACGGATGGCAGCCCTGTGGAACAGAGGGCTGTTTCCAGTGCCAACAGCAGGCGCTCCATCCAGATGACGCCATTGCCCCTGTGCAGTCCGCGTCTCACTTTCTGGACTCTGGGCTCTCCGTGCCCTCCAGAACCCTGAAGGCGCTCAGCTCCACGGGTCCCCGCAGCCGCCATGCATCCTCAGCTGCGCAGGGCGGCAAGGGGCACCGACTTTGGTCTCCCTCAGAAACCCCGTGACTGGTCCTGATGCGTCGCTCCCACCTCACGTCCTTCCTCCCGACGCCCTGCATCCCCCGCTCTACCTCAGCCAGCTCGGCTCCTCTCGGACCGCGCGGGGCTCTGCCCGAGGCCCCAGGAAGGTCCCGGCACCCCGGCCGCAGCCGCACGGGCCGGGCGCGAGATCCCACCCCGACGGGAGCGGACACCCTCCCGGGACCAGAGCGCATCCTCCCCGGGCTCTCACCTGGGCTCCAGCCTCTCCCGCCTCTTGCCCTCCGTCTCGTCCGCCCCGGCCGAGCCCGCCGCTCACCGCGTCCCCTGCCGCCGACCCGCTGCGTCTGTGGAGCAGGTGTCGCCGCCCGCCGCGCTGCAGGCGTGCCGCCTTAAGACGGGCTCGGACGGCAGGCCGCGCTCACGCTGCCCTCCCTCAGGGCGCAGCGCGCCTGCTCCTCCACGCGCCCCCGCCCCGCCCCCCGCGCCGCTGGAGCGGGCCCCCGGCCTGCGCGCCCTCTAACCCTATGCCCCTCCCCTCGCCCCCGCCTGCGCTCTTTCCCTGTGCCCCCGCCCCCGCACGGCCTTGCGGCCCCGACGGCCCTGCGCGCCTCCAGGTCCCCTAAGCCCCCGCCCCACAGCCCTGCGTGCTCCCGAGGGCCCTGAGTACCTCCCACGGACCTGTGTGCCCTCTAACCCTGTGCCCCACCGACGGACCGCCCTGTGCGCCCCCCACGGCCCTGCGGCCTCACAGGGCCCTAAGGATCCCTTCCCCCTCCACCCCCCGCCCTGCGGATCCTCATGGCTCTAAGGACCCCGCCGCAGCCTGTGGGTCCCCGACGGCCCTGCGCTCCCCAACCCCTAGGATTCCCCGTCTACGACCCTGAATCCCCCCCACAGCCCTGTGCCTCCCACCCGCCCTGCGTTCTGCCCCAGGCTAGGTGCCCCCCACAACCTACACATTCCCCAATGCCCAACGCGCCTCGGGTACCGAAGAGGCCACCCACGGCCTTGCGCGCCCTCTGACCTTGCCGAGGGGCTCCTGAAGGCCGGTCCCGGGCGCCCCTCGGGCTTCCACGTGATGCGCCAGGCCTCAGCAAGAGTGCTAAGGCAGGCCGAGGCGTGCACGTGGACCGCTTTCCTGCGTCTGCACCAGCATTCCCAGCCCGCCTTTAGGGGAGGGGACGCGGGCCTGGTCTTCTCGCGGCCTTCCCGCCCAGCCTCCCGCAGAGCACTGTGTAAGCCCTGAGGAGAGGGCACCTGCGCTAGTCTAAAGTTCTGGAGATCTGGAACAAGACAGTTGGGTTGCTGGGCCAGAACTCCCATCCAAGGGGCTGGGGACGAAGGGCCCTGTAAAGCTCTGCTTGCTGGAGTTCCGGCTGCCTGTGCTACCAGCTAGGCAGAGCATCCGTGCCCCTGGGCACCCAGGCAGGAGTACCTCTTTCCAGGGCGGCCTCAACCTCCAGGCCGACAGCTGCCGGGCGCTTGGCCACAGCTGCTCATCCACAGTGTGGCTTCTCGAGCCTGCTGGCCAATCTTTCCATGGAGGTAGGTGCACAAGTGTGGATAGACACATCTTATGTATGACGTATGGATATCTTATGGTCCAGGTTTCAGAAAAGCACAAATCAGGTCTCACATAAACTCCAGAAACTACAATGCTTCAACTTGATAAAAAAATCTGGTGTTTAAATGTTGAGAAATAAAAATACCATTAACATGATATTTCCTTGCTCTCACCTGAGATTCAGAAACGGATTTAGCCCTCTGCCCTTTGGGAAAAAAATGAGAAATTTATGTTTTATGGTCTATTTATTATTGTCTTTTTGAGAGGAGTTCTCCCTGTAGCCCCAGCTGGCCTGAAACTCACTATGTAGACCACGCTGGTTTTGAATTCACAGAGATCCTTGGGCCTCTGCCTCCCAAGTGTTTGGATCAAAGGTTGGTGCCATCACGCCTGGCTCCTGGTCTACTTTTTAATGTTAGACCAAAAAAAAGCGCTAATGCTCATAGGTGTTCTCATTAACCTAGGAGGTACAAAGCCTCAGATTCACAAACTCTAGTCTCTCTTGGAAAGATGTTTCAAACACACATTTCCAAGAAGATAGTGCAATTCCTTCTTTGTAACTTAGAAATCTTTGCACCTGACCTAAGGAGTTAACATGCTAAGTATTTGTTTAATTCAACAGTACCCTGAAATAAACATTAAGCAGATAATCAACAAGGGAACTTAAGCACTTTCTTTAAAAGTTTTATTTCTCAATTGTCACCCTTCCAATAATGTAGACATAAAGTCTTGGTGAAAACTGACATTATAAATTTAAGAAATAACTAACGGGGTTTATGTGATATAACTTTTCCACAATTGTGTCACATCTGCATACATAAAATCATGGATGTGATCTTTGTCAAACTCATGGAAATAAAAATGCACTAACATATATTCTATGTGGCAATGTCCATGTTCCTCATGGCGGCTGTCTGGCTGCTAGCCTCCATGCAATCAGAGCTCAGCACTGAAAGAGCACAGCCTGAGTTTACTAAGCTTTTGCATGAATTACAACTGAACTACAATTTCAGAATTTGAAACTTTATGTAAAAGCAAGAAATCAATAAGCCTCACCCTCTTCACTTTAAAATGCTCTAGCAACGGGTGCTTAATATTATTGACAGAATGGTTGGATAAAGTGAACACTTGCTACATCCTTTTAAAGAAAGATGCAGTTTTCATATTTAATCCATCCTCCAAGTTATTACCCAAATTAACATTGAAATTTTCCTGTCAAAATGATAGAATGTGGTGTTGGACACCATTTCTGTGAAGGCGGATTCAGTCAAGGTAGACTAAAATCCTTTTGTTATTGTTGAACAATATTTGCATCAGTTTATTCCACTGTTAATTTTAAATCTTTCTATGATTGTAAAGACTGTTGGAACCATATGATTTTAGTGGAAAATATCAATAACTAGTGACAAATAATAGCTTAGCTGATAATCATTAACTGTTAGCCTTGATTAAATGGAGTCTTACCAGTTGTTAGCTGTTTCAGCTGACATGTTTTCCAACTGCTGTGTGCCTTCATTTCTTTACCCATAAAATAATTGTAGCATGAGGCTAGAATGATAGCTCAGTGCTTTAGAATATGTACTACTGTGACAGCTTGTTAGGTTCCCTGCATGCATGTCTGGCCTCTGCAGCCACAGATACTCACATGCACACACACACACACACACACACACACACACACACACACACATAATAATAATAATAATAAATTAAAGCCAGACGTGGTAGTACACAAGTCCCAGCACTCGGGAGGCAGAGGTAGGTGGATCTCTATGAAATCAAGGCCAGCCTGATCTACATATCAAACTCCAGGCTAGTTGGGGCTACAGAGAGACTGTGTCTCAAAATAATGATGATCCTAACAACAACAATAATAGCGGCTGGAGAGATGGCTCAGCGGTTAAAATAATAAAATATTAAAAAATGAACATAGTATCTACTTTGTAAAGTTATTGTGAGAATTGCAGGAATTAAAACATGAATTGTACAAGACAGAGCTCTTGGCACCTAGCACTTAGTAAATATTAACTTAGCGCTCTCTATCTATAATTCTGACAATGGAGCATTAATCAGCTTTGTAGGACGCCCCCCACCTTGGAAGTTCTTTGGCCTGAACCTAAGTCTCACACGTTATGCAAGTTCTTGCTCTATCGTTGAGCTACAGCCCCAACCATATAGATAAGATTTAATAAGGATTTTTTTTAATTACTAGAGGCAGCGCACTCTAGTAAAGAATATTCTTTTAAGTACTCTAATAATGTCGTTTCTTTAGCACTTTGCCTTTTTCTATGAGCAGTGCCTTTGTATTTCTCTTTGTAAATAGTTTTTATTGAGCTTTTGTACATTTCATACAACAGTTCTTACCCCTTCACCATCCATGTCCCCATACCCCCAACACCGGGCCTCATGTATTCTGCCATACATGTTAAGTCCCATCCATCAAGCATTGTTCCCCAATGTCCATTGGTGCAAGTTCATCCACCAGAGTCTATTCAGCCTATCTAGAGATCTTAAGGAAGGTCTGCCCTCCCTCTTCCAGTAGCAATCAGTCTCCAGCAGTTCTCCAGCTAGGGTCGGCCCACAGCCCATTTCCCTCACACCACACTGGGCACTTGTCTGATTGAGCTGGCCTTTGTATTTATCAGAACAATTCTTAGATTTGTTTTATTCATTTAGCATTTGTTAACTGACCAGCTTATGCAAAGTTTGATAAACACTGATAAACAATTTGACAAACCCTTTGATGGATACTGCTCTTATTTAGAGAGAGAAGTAACCTGGAAATATTTAGAAAAGTAAATGATTAAGTAGAGATTTCTTAAATTAATTGTCAAGTGTGTAATAAGAATAAGTGAGGAAAGAGAGAAAGGAGAGAGGTTAATACAAGCTAGACTTGTCATAAAGGGTCTTGGGAAAGAATCTACTTGATTTAAGACATATAAGAACAGTTAAGTTTTTAGTTCAGGAATTAAAGAGTACTTAGAGTATAAAATAATTTGTTAAATCTTTCTAGACAATTTTATTTTCCCAACATGCTAACCTGCTGCCTTAAGGTACATAGTATGAAAAATCAAAAAGTAACTTTTACATCTCAAACTTGAAAAACAACTTGTTTCCTTGTGAGGTTTTCTTTTGCCATTTTTTTATCCAGATTAATAGAGCACCTATACATGCAGAACCCACAGTCTGGCCTCACATATGAATGTAGCCTCGTCCTCTGCCTCTCAGGGAACTCAGAACTAGGAGGTTAAATTACATGGGCATCACATAAGGATGGCAAAGTAATGCAGAGGAAGTCAGAACTGTGTACAAAAGTCTAGGAGGGCTCCACAAACAACTGACACTTGAACTGTTTTAAATGATGACTCAATAAGTCAACAGAGGAGGACAATCCAACAAGAAGGCCTGATTTAATTATTCGACTTCCATCTGGTATTAAGTGCATCCATTGTTATCCACATACCATTGATTTTGCTGTATTCTCAGGGAATATAAAAAACACCTTTTTCCTATTTTTAATTAGAAATAATATAGACAGGCCAACATATAAAAGACAGGAGGGGAAGGGTGGGCAATGAGATGTTTGGATCCACATATTATACAAAAAATTTAGGGAAAGGGGCATTCAGAGATGGGAA